TAGTAAGTAAGTAAGTAAAGTTTATTTATATAGCGCTTTTTACAACAGGTGTTGTCACAAAGCAGCTTTACAAGGAAATGAGCATTACAAAAAGAAGTCCGGGTCCGAGCCCCCATGAGCAAGCCAGTGGCGACAGTGGCAAGGAAAAACTCCCTAAGAGAAACAGGAAGAAACCTTGAGAGGAACCAGGACTCAGAAGGGGAACCCATCCTCCTCTGGTCGACACCGGATAGTAAACATTGTTAGTATAAAGTATTATAGTACAAAAAACAGGGTAAAACGTGAAGGAAACAATTAATTTGAATAGTTCAGTTCATGCAGCAGAAGCAGCAGCATCAGTGGGGTCAGGTTGTGAGGGTGAGGTTTGCACCCGATCAAGGCAGCAGAGGCAGCAGCATCAGCAGCAGGATGGGCAGCTGTTCAACTCGGCAAAAGAAAGAGAGGAAAAACACAGTCAATGGGTGATTGATTAATTTGAATTAGTTTGAATGATTGATTGGTTCAAGTGAATAATTTTGAATAGTTCATGCAGCAACAGCAGTAGTATCAGTGGGGTCAGGTTGTGAGGGTGAGGTTTGCACGGCGTTGAACAGCAGGAGGCTCAATGTTGGTAACCCGGTCCAGAGGGCTGGCGAGCAGTGGCACCCGATCGAGGCAGAAAAGGCAGCAGCATCAGAACGCACAGGACGGGCAGCTGTTCAACTCGGCGAAGAAAAGAAAGGAAAACACACAGAGAGGAAAACACACAGAGTTAGTTCTGTAATGGGTGACCGATCACAAATTACAGTGTTAGCAGAGACTCTGGCAGGTATAGAACTAACAGGGAAAACTAATTACCAAAGGCTTGAATATACAAGTAGGTTTTTAGCCTAGACTTAAAGACTGAGGCTGTGTCTGAGTCCCGAACATTAACAGGAAGACTATTCCAAAGCTGGGGGGCTTTGTATGAGAAAGCTCTCCCCCCTGACATAACTTTATTAATTCTGGGTACTAATAGTAAGCCAGCACCTTGTGATCTAAGTAGGCGGGATGGTTCATAGTGAGAGAGAAGTTCACTCAGGTACAGCGGGGCGAGTCCGTTTAGTGCTTTATAAGTCAGCAAGAGAATTTTATAATCAATCCGAAATTTTACTGGCAACCAGTGTAAGGCTGATAAAACTGGGCTGATATGGTCAAACTTTCTGGTTCTAGTAAGAACTCTGGCTGCAGCGTTCTGGACCAGCTGAAGCTTGTTAATGCTTTTGCTAGGACATCCAGCCAGCAGGGCATTACAGTAATCTAGCCTTGAAGTAATAAATGCATGAACTAACTTTTCTGCATCCTGTAGAGATAATGCATTTCTCAATTTAGCAATATTGCGAAGATGCAGGAAGGCTGTTCTAGTAATATTAGTTATATGTGTGTCGAAGGACAGATCAGGGTCTATAATGACACCAAGGTTTTTTACATATGAGCTTGATGCAACTGAGAAATTGTTAAGTTTAAGTGTTAGATTAGACAGTTTGTTTCTGGCTGCTTTTGGACCAAGAAGCAGAACCTCTGTTTTATCTGAGTTTAGAAGGAGAAAGTTACTCGACATCCAGTCTTTTATGTCTTGTATACAGTCTTCGATCTTGCTAAGTTTAATTCTATCATCTGGGTCGCTTGCTAAATATAACTGAGTGTCATCGGCATAGCAGTGGAAGTTTATGCCGTGTCTACTGATAATGGTGCCCAGTGGTAGCATATATAAAGTGAATAATACAGGTCCTAAAACAGAGCCTTGTGGAACACCATATTTTACTTTTGTGAGAACAGATGATTCACCGTTTATATTAACAAACTGATACCGATCAGTGAGGTAGGACCGGAACCAGGAAAGAGCTGTTCCTGTTACCCCTACAAGGTTTTCTAGTCTGTCTAGTAAGATAGTGTGGTCTATTGTGTCAAATGCCGCACTAAGATCGAGGAGGACTAACAAGGACACATGATCTTGGTCAGAAAATAATAATAGATCATTTACAATTTTTACTAGTGCTGTTTCTGTACTATGATGTGGCCTAAAACCAGATTGGAATTTTTCATGTATTTGATTCCTATGTAAAAAGGAGCTTGACTGTTTTGCTACAACTTTTTCCAAGATCTTAGATATAAAGGGGAGATTCGAGATGGGTCTATAATTTGAAAGTTCGCATGGATCGAGGTTCGCTTTCTTAATCAGCGGTCTAATTACTGCTAGTTTAAGAGATTTTGGGATGTACCCAAGGCTAAGAGAAGAGTTTATTATTGACAGAATAGGCTTGGTTATTTCTGGCAGAATTTCCTTGAGTAAACCTGTAGGAATCGGATCTAGCATACAGGTAGATGATTTCGCGGAAGAGACTATTTTAAATAGTTCATTTTCTTGGAGTAAGGTAAACGATTCCAGCCTCTCTGCAGGAATTATAATATTTTCAAGGTTGAGGCTGGCATTATGGGGAAGCAGGTTTCTAGAGTTTAATTGCGTATTCTGAATTTTCTGCCTAATTTTTTCAATTTTATCACTAAAGAAATTCATAAAATCGTTGCTGCTATAGGCTGATGGCATCTGGGGTTCACTAACTGTTTTGTTCTCTGTTAGTTTAGAGATTGTGCTGAAAAGTAATCTAGGATTATTCTTATTGTTTTCTATGAGAGAGGAGAGATAAGCTGAGCGTGCTGTAGCAAGTGCTTGTCTATAGTCTGTAAGGCTCTCCTTCCAGGCGGACTGGAACACTTCTAGCTTAGTCAGGCGCCATTTACGCTCAAGTTGTCTGGCGTTCTGTTTTAAAGCCCGAGTGTTGTCATTATACCAGGGGGCGAGTTTTTTCTGCCTTACTATTTTACTTTTTAATGGGGCCACACTATCTAGAGTAGATCGAAAACTATTCTCTAAGAGCTTGGTCATAGCATCTAGCTCAGTAGGATTAGATGGACAGATGAGAGCGGCTGATAATTTAGGAAGGTTTCTAATAAAGCCACCAGCTGTGGAGGGAGTTATTGTCCGCTTGACACAATAACATGGTGATGAACGCACATTACCACTAAAGTGAATTTCGTAAGAGATTAAGTAATGGTCAGAGACTGCTGTGCTCTGGGGGAGAATGGCTAAGTTATCTATGTTTACACCAAAAGTCAGTATTAAGTCTAGAGTGTGGTTGTGGTAGTGTGTGGGCCCCTTTATGATTTGGGTGAAACCTATGGAGTCTATGATAGATATAAATGCCTTGCTTAGTGCATCTTGGGGATTGTCTAAATGGATATTAAAATCTCCGACAACTATTATTTTATTTGAAAGCGTTATTAGACTTGATAGAAACTCAGAGAATTCCTGTAAGAACTGAGAATACGGCCCTGGTGGCCTGTAGACTGTAATTAGTGTAAAGGAATTTTTATGTGTTCCTTGATCACTTATATTAAGAAAAAGAACTTCAAAAGAAGAGAATGTATAGCCTACTTTCTGCCTCACGCCTAAAGCTTTAGTATGGATGGTTGCTATACCTCCACCTCGGCCGCTTAAACGAGGGCTATGTGCATAGCTGTAGCCTGGGGGTGTGGCTTCGTTTAGACTAAAGTATTCATCGGGTCTAATCCACGTTTCTGTGAGACACAGAGCATCAAAGCTGTGATCGGTAATAATTTCATTAACAACGACAGCTTTAGGAGTAAGGGATCTTATATTAAGCAGTCCTAGTTTTAGACCAAAGGTGCTGTCACTGCAAACTGGTGTAACTGGTCTGATATTAATCAAGTTACTGAAGCAAACTTTTCGAGGCTTTTTGATGCTTTGTTTTATTCGGGGAACAGACACAGTCTCTATTGGGAGAAACCTATGAGCATTTATATTTATAGAATGAGCATTTGTTACCCTATTTACAGTATAAAAGCTAGCAATCGCATAATCTTCAGCAGTAGCACTATCATAATGAGCTGTAGCGTTTCTATCTTTGCCGGTACTTACGTGGCCTTCGCTCTGGAGTCAGCGGATGGCCCTCTCGATGTTTTGTGAGAGAACTATGGATCCCAGGCGACTGGGGTGGAGGCCGTCCCTCCGGAAGAGCGCTGGCTGTTCCCAAAACGAAGCCCAGTTGTCCACGTAGGTCAAGCCGTTGAGGGCGCACCAGCCGCGGAGCCAGGACTGCAGCGCGAAGAGCCTGCTGAACCGCTCGGATCCCCTCCTGTAGGTGGGTAGCGGTCCGGAGATGACGATCCTGGCGTCCGTCTTCTTCCTGGCGGTGTCCAGCAGCGTCTGGTAGTGCTCCTTCAGGACCTCACTTTGCCGGTCGAGGATGTCGTTGGTCCCGACATGGATCACCACGGTCCCGAAGGCGTTTCGTCTGAGAGCCGAGGGGAGGCGCCTGGCTATGTCTAAGACACGAGCACCTGGAAAACAAGAAACAGTGGCATGGGTGTTTTTAACCTTTACTTGAACGTGGCGGACAATGGAACTACCAATAACGTAAACAGAGTCCTGTGTAGAGCGCCGGGGCGCCGGGGCGGGTGACGAGGTCCGGGGCGCTGGGGCGGGCGGCGGCGAGGAGGCCCGGGACGTAGGTGAGGGCGTAGGCGGTGAACAAAGGACGGCGAAACGGTTGCCGGAGGTGAAGATCGGCTGGGGCGGCGGTGAGGGTCTGCAGGGCCCTCTGCGGCGCTGGCGTTCCCAGGGACCATGCGGGGCTGGCGTGAGAACGGTGTCTCCCGGCGTGCGGAAAGACGACGCTGGCGCCACCACCGAGGGGGAAACTTCCCGGGTGGCTTCGAGCATCGACTTCTGCCGAAGGAGCTCGTCCTGCTTCTTCAGTAGGACGGTGATCTGTCGGTCCAGCCGGGCCAACTCTACGCTCAGAGTCTGGAGGGCGCGTTTCTGGGCGGACGCCATGGTGGATGGGCTGAGGGAATAACTGAGAGATAGATAGAGAAAAAGAGAGGGAGAAGACAAAATAAGAGGGAGAGGCGTGAGGGGGTTAGCGGCCTGCTAACTGCAGAATTTTCAACTAATTTTCAAGTAAAGTTTTCAAGTAAAGTTTGGACGCTGCTCGATCTGAAGTTCTAAGGTGTGCTGCTCTCTGTCGCTCGCAGTGACGTGCTCTCTGTCGCTCGCAGTGACGTCACTAAGCCTCATCCTATAGAAAATTTATGGGCAGAACTGAAAAAGCATGTGCAAGCAAGGAGGCCTACAAACCTGATTCAGTTATACCAGTTCTGTCAGGAGATAGGCCAAAATTCCAGCAAAATGTTTGACCCAAGTTAAACAGTTTAAAGGTAATGCTACCAAACACTAACCATGTGTACTGTATGTAAACTTCTGAGCCACTGGGAATGAGATGAAAAAAAAAAAAGAACTGATTATATATATATATATATATATATCTATATATATATATATATATATATATATACACACACACACACTCACTGTGCACTATTAGGAAGACCTCCTTGTATTTACACTTACTGTCCATTTTATCAGCTCAACTTACCATATGGGTGCACTTTGTAGTTCTACAATTACAGACTGTAGTCCATCTGTTTCTCTGCATAGTTTGTTAGCCCCCTTTTACCCTGTTCTTCAATGGTCAGGACCACCACAGAGCAGATATTATTTGGGTGGTGGATCATTCTAAGCACTACAGTAACAATGGCGTGTGTTGCGCTGGTCTGAGTGGATCAGACACAGCAGTGCTGGAGTGTTTAAACACTGTGTCCTCTCACTGTCCACACTATTAGACACTCCTACCTTGTGGGCCACCTTGTACATGTAAAGTCAGAGACAGCAGCTCATCTGTTGCTGCACAGTCTGTGCTGGTCATCCTCTAGTCCTTCATTGGTGGTCACAGGATGCCGTAGGCTGGATATTTTCCAGTCCAGTGGTGACATTGAGGTGTTTAAAAACTCCAGCAGCACTGCTGTGTCTGATCCACACATGCCATTGCAACACACACCAACACTCCACCACCAGTCAGTGCCAGTGCTGTGCTGAGAATGACCACCACCCAAATAATACCTCTCTGTGGGGGTCCTGTGGGAATCCTGAAAGGGAGCTAACAAAGTATGGAGTGAAACAGATGGACTACAAAATTACAAGGCCCAATGTGAATTCTTCAAGCAAAATGAAATTTCTTCAAGCCAATTGAAATTGTTAGCATTCACACCACATCTGAGCCCCATCTAACTTGACTGGTGTTATCACTAAACATTGAACTCTACTAAATGGACTCCAGTGAACAGGGCTAGTGGCATTTAAAGCCTGGATTAAGAGGCACCGCTTTTATGTTTTTTGTAACAAGTAATTTAATCATACCAAAATGCAAAGAAATAAGTCCGGACCTCAGACAGTAGTGGGTGTCTATCCTGCCATTTCCAAGCAGTATGGGATCGGCAAAGGAAAACTCCATTGGTCACACGGCAGCACATCAAAGCAAGACTGAAGTTTGCCTGGGACCATATGAAACATGGGGAAGAGTTTTGGAAGTCTGTCCTTTGGTTTGATGAAACTAAACTGGATCTGTTCTGGCACATGGATGTTGCTTTTGTTTGGCGAAGAAAGGGAGAGGCCTTCAACCTTAAAAACACAGTTTCCACTGTTGGTGTTGGTGGAAGCATAATGTGCAGCTGTTTTGCTGCTTCAGGCCCAGAAAAGGTACATAGGTGATAAGGTGCATAGGGTCATGAAGAAAGATTATGCTGACATTTTGAATGATAATGTGAAGAAATCTGCTGCCAGTCTGACTTTAGGTTGCTCTTGGGTCTTTCAGCAAGACAATGACCCAAAGCACACATCCAAGTTCATCCAAAACCTTTTGAAGGGCAAAACTAAGGTCCTAATGTGGTCCTCTCAAAGCCCAGGTCTCAATCCTATTGAGAATCTATGGCGGGAGCTCAAAGTTAAGGTCAGTGTCTGAAAACCGTGTAATTTGGATGAGCTGGAACAATTTGCCATGGAGGAATATGCTAAGATCCAACTAGACATGTGCTAACCTAGAGTGGTTAATGTTGCTTAACCTGAGTCACCCTAATGACACGAGTACCTGAACATCATTACATCTTATTTGGAGAGAACTAGAAGTGATGACCTTCGAAATATTGTAAAAGCTAAAAGAGAATTGAATTCAACTGAACAGGAAAGAATTTACATTATATTCATGCAGTCTTGGTCATTTGCTGAAACATATTTGGTTTTATTTAACTGATTTGAAACTTTAAAGGTTACAGAAAGAAAGTAAACTCTACAGTTTGACTGTAGTTTATTTGTCACCCAGGCAACTATCATGGTCTTCCAATCTGTGGCTGAGTACTACAAGCAAGTGAGGAGAGCTCAGAATGCGGAATTGGATGTGGAGTTGTCTGTGAGTGGCCGAAGCAAAACCATCCAATGGAATATAAGAAAAGAAAACTCACACCTCACCCGTTCAGACAAGGTTAATCATGCTCTTCATATACTTTTCTTTATGATCATTATTGTTTTGTTCTTTTCACACTGGAAAAATCAACACATTACTTGTGGTATTAAGTTGCTTTGTGTTTGAGATTTGAGATTTCATACATACACAACTAATGGTATAAAAAAAAATAAATTCAGGTTTAAGCCCTTAAGGGTAAGAATTTTGAATATTCTTTTGAAGCACTTCTGCATAAATATTTTAAATATACATTTTTCTTTCATTTTTAATCATGAAATTGTTAAAGATTGAATGAAAGGCTTCCGTGTCTGTGCATTCACAGGTTAACCTCAAGCAAGAATTTAATGTTACAGCTAAGGGAAATGGTGTGGGATCTCTCAAAGTGCGTATTCACACATGCTACCCCAGTCTTGTGTCTCTGAAAATTTTGTATTTATAGGTATATTTGTTGATTAATTGTTAATAAATATCCTTCTTATAGGTAGTAACACTCTACTATGCTAGACCCACTGAGAAGGAAAGTGACTGCAGAGATTTTGATCTTACTGTTAAGATGGAAAGACAACGTGAAGGTAAGATTCACGACTCAAATGTGTCTCTGTGTGCAATTTTAGTGGTTGTTGTGGCACAGAGCCAAGCGGTTTCCTTATATTTTATTGTAAAATGTTCATCTCCTCTCATTTCAGTGTCATATCCTGAAGCTAAAGAAAGTTATCTGCTCACCATTGAAACCTCGTGAGTATATCACAATATGGATTGCATGCATGCACAATTAATTGCATTTATTTTTTTTGAGGGGTTGAGCAAATATGATATTTTAGATTATGTATTGACTGAGTGTGTGTTTTAGAACTATAAAAAATGTATGAATCATATGTTGTTGTTTTTTTTTATTCATTTGCATAGCTATAAGAGTCAAACCAGAGATGCCACTATGTCTATTTTGGATATCGGCCTGCTGACAGGATTTGTGGTGGATGAAAATGATCTCAGCGATGTAAGGAAATATCTAGCAGATAATACATCATTAACATTTCAAAACCTAATAAGATCATAAGATTAAGCGTATTATTCCAAAATAGAATTTAACAGAATGTAGTGGAATGGACTGTTGAAAACTGTTACCAAGGAAAAGGGTGAACATTTTCAGCTATATGTTCAGTTCTGATGAACATAGCTAGTGTTCCTTACAGTTTGTTGTGTATGTTGTAACAAGTTTGTTTTTATTTTATTTTGCAAACATGTTAACGTCTACAAAGAAAAACCTTGTAAATTATGTATGTGCTCAGCATTATTCTGTAGTTTTTCCTACACTTACCAGTATTTTGCATAATTCTTTCACATATTTAAAAAAAGAAATTCACGTTTGACATTTTTCCTTGTGTTCACAACAGCTTACCACCGGGAGCGACAGATATATTCAGAAGTTTGAGATGGATAAACAGCTTTCAGAACGAGGTTCCTTCATCCTCTATCTAGATAAGGTACATATGAAGACAACCCTTTATCAGACACATTTTACCCCATATTTATGTTGGTGATTGATTTCTGATTAGGTTAATGTTGGTCTTGTGGGCACACCACATGCACATACAAAGTCCCATGAATAACCTATGAACGTCTACATGTTCTTCACCAAGATCTCTTTGATTTCAATGTAAATTGGGTGCAGGCACATGCACAGATAAACTCTCAGTCTATACAAGTGCACTCTTGGTAGGCATGAACAGCAATTAAGTTTTAAATAGCCAATCTGCAACAGCTATTGCAGCAAGGCTCAGTCTTGCCTTGGAGTAGAGCTTGTGGCTCGGCTCATGTCTAGCTCAGCTTTATTTCTCAAGGACCCCTTTTTCACAATACCGACTGAAAATCCAGCAACATCTGAATCACATCCCATAATGTGGTTATTCCCATTAAGTTTTTCTTATTGTAAAAATTTATGCCATGTTCTGTTGAACCCTTAAAAATCATTACACCTCTATATAAAACACTGAAAGCTTTCTGTCACCACTGGTGAATGTGGACCCACTATGGAAACACCTGCATTCACCAGCATACACAACATCTACATTGGTATGTTTTGGTTTATGCTGTTGTTTATACTTCTCCTCAAGTTGCACACAAACTCTTGTATTTTATTCAAACTTTGCTACGTGTATAATATAGCGATTTATGTTTTGTCTTATTAAACATTTTTACATACTATACACTATATTGGTACATGGTATTTTAAACTACATTGAAAACACATGAGTGTGCAAAACTGCTGCTTCTTACCAGGTGTCTCATGGGATGAGAGACAGGATTGCTTTCAGAGTGCATAAGATCACTGAAGTGGCTATGCTTCAACCTGCTGGCATCACTGTGTACGAGTACTACTCTCCAGGCAAGTTCATAGAAACACACACAATGCACATATGCCAATTTCAATTTACAGGGGCCTGATTACAGGTTGTGGGAGCCAGATAACATTCATTATGTCCCAGATAGGGTACCTGCTTTAACCTGCTTGTGGGCCCTATGGGTCTAGTTAAAATCCATAAAATCAGTATCACTCACAATGACAGATGAGAGTTGTCTTCTGACTGATGTGGACAAAAATACACCAAATCCAGTAAGCATGGAAAGAGGCAGTCAATTATCTAACAATCAGCAGAACCAATGCCTAATTTAACAGCACACTTAACGACCCTCAGCGTCCAAAAACATAAAACCTTTGTTTTTAATGAAAGTGCACATTGCTGCAGCCAGTCAGCAGCTTTCTGCACTGCTGTTCATCATTTATCCATCACTGCATTAACTAGTTCTAAACCTAAAACCAGACCGCTAAAATCCAAAGTCAGTACATGTGTGAAATTTGCACTGAGACGGCAGTCAGTTTAAAGCACTTAGCATCCAATCATTACATGTGTATGTGTGTGGATGGTTGAAGGGGAAATGAATCCCATTAAAGAAAAAATCCAAAAACAGAAACAGCCAGAGGCCCTGAGTTACTTGCACATCAACAGCATGATGCAGTCTTGTAAATGTTGTCATAGTTACTGTCGAAAATGTAAAATGTTCTTAGAAGACCTGTGTCAGTCTCTTGTTTATTTAAGAGCACTTTTACATCTACCTTGTTTAGTGCAGACCTATTAAACTTTTTTTTTACTTCGGCCTGTTTTGACAGGTGTGGACATTCCTTCCATTCTCAAGCGCATACTCAACAAATGAACCATGGTCTGGCAAAAATCGCAGGTCTCAGTTCGCTTCCAAATCAGCCCTGGTTCAGTCTGCTAGTGATGGGAATGTGTTTTTGTGATGGTCCATACCAAATGAGGGAAATCAGAGCATGCTTTCCTCTTCCTCTAGCAGTGCTTCAGCGCTGTACTGTCCATATCATCTGCCTTTTTTAACGTCTGACTCTTGGTAGAAGCAAATATCACCCTTGGCAGCATGGACCCCTGCAGAGGAAACTGGCACTTGGAATGTGGAACGTAACCTCACTGGGGGAAAGGAGCTGGAGCTTGTGCAGAAGGTTGAGAGGTACCAGTCAGATAGCTGGGCTCACCTCCACCACAGTGTCAGCTCTGGAACCAAACTCCTTGATAGGGGTTGGTCCCTCTCCTACTGAAGAGTGCAGTTGGAGTTTGTCCCAGTGGATGAAAGGGTCACCTTAATGCCAATTAAAATCACAGGGAGGAAAACTCTAACTGTTGTGAATATTCAGCCTTCTTGGAGCAAGCCTACAGACTCCATAGATGTGCCGGGAGACTTCAGTGCTCATTTTGACAATGATTGGGAGACCTGGATGGGAATGATTGGGATGAACGGCCTGAATTGTTATTGGACTTCTGTGCTAGACATGGATTACCCATAACGAACACCAAGTTCGAACACAAGGACATTCATAGGTGTATGTGGTACCAGAACTCCTTGGGTCATAGGTGAATGAACGACTTTGTTGTCGTTTCATCTGACTTGGGACCACATGTTCTGGACACTCAGGTGAAGAGAGGTGAAGAATTGTTAACCAATCACCATCTGGTGGTGAGTTGGATCAGATGGCAAGGAAGACTGATGGTCAGACCCGGTATGCCTAAGCAAATTGTGAGGGTGTGCTTTTAATGACTAGCAGAGGCCCCTGTTCAGAATGATTCCAACTCCCAGCTCTGGGAGAGCTTTTCTCATGTTCCGGTGGAGGTAGGGGACATAGTTTCTGAATGGACCCTGTTTAAAACCTCCATTGTGGAAGCCGCCAGGCGTAGCTGTGGCCAAAAGCTTGTTGGTGCCTATCAGCGTGGTAACCCAAGAAGCCCGAGGTGGACACTGGTGGTGAGGGAGGCAGTCAAGCTGAAGAAGGAGGCCTTTAGGGACTGGATGGCCCAGAGGACTCCCGACTCAACAGACAGGTACCGATGGGCAAAAAAGGCACCAGCGGTGGTTGATGCAAAATCCAGAGCATAGGAGGAGTTTGGTGAGGCCATGGAAAAAGACTTTTGCTTGGCTTCAAGGAGGTTCTGGGCTTTGCCCAAGCTGTACTCGACGGGTACGGAGAAACTCTGACTTCAAATGAGAATATTGTTGGTCAGTGGAAGGAGCAATTTGAAGGACTCTCAAAACCCAAGAGACCTGCCTCCCTCACAGAAGTCAGGGCCAGAGGTTTCTGGCATGACAGACTCACTTTCCCTGGCAAAGGTCACTGAGATAGTTGGCAAGCTCCTCAGGGGCAAGGCACTGGGGGTGGATGAGATTTGCCCAGAAATGCTTAAGGCTCTAGATGTTGTGGGGCTTTCTTGGTTGACATGCCACTGCAGTGTTGCATGGACCTCGGAAACAGTATGCTTTGTCTGGCAGACCAGGTTTGTGGTCCCTATTTTTAATTTATGGACAGGGTGTCAAGTTCAGGAGGGCATTAAGTGTGGAGGCCAGGGGGTGGTGTCTCTGCTATTTGCAGATGATGTTGTCCTTTTGGCGCATCGCATGGTTGCCTCCTTCGCAGGGTGGTGAGCTACACTCCACTTGATAGCATGAGGAGCTTGGTCATCCGGGAGGAGCTCAGTGTAAAGCCACAATTTGTCCACATTGAGAGGAGCCAGTTGAGGTGGTTCGGGTTTCTGATCAGGATGCCTACAGGCTGCCTCCCCATGGGGGTTCTCAAAGACATGACCTACTGGGACGAGACCCCAAGGTCGTTCTACGGCCTGCTGGAGGGATCGTATCTCCAAGTTAGCCTGGGAGCGGTTTAGGGTCTGCTGGAATGAGTTGGAGGTAGTTGTGGGGTACAGGGTCAACTGGGATTTTCTGCTCTTCCAACTGCCACTGCCACTCTAGCTGGATTAAGTGGTTAAAAATGATGAATGAATGAATGAATGAATGAATCTTGGAACATATTGCATCAGTGAACTGTTTGGTTAAATCCAAATTGAAAAACCAGTCATAAGGAAGCAAATATCAAGCATGTTGTATTATTATTGCTTTGACTGTGATACACATAGACTTTAATTGCCTCTGTTTTTCACGCAAAGTAGAAGTTTTTTGGCTCAAATGGTAGCAAATGTGAGAGGAACAGAGCACTTGTACTCTGCAAAAATTTCTGACTAATGGACACGCGTGTGTAATTTGGTACGCTTTAGCTGTTGTATTTCTGAAGTAACCAGAACAAGAAAGACATGTCACAAAAACCTCAGACTTTCATCCGGATCATCTGGTCATTTGCCCCCTGCCAAAACATAAGAAGGGGGGGCCAATGTCCTCCCAATTCTAACACAAAGCTCAAGAAAAGTCATGGTAATTAAACTGCATACAGTCTGAAAACAGCTGCTATAGTGTAACTGTATATAACAGTAGTGGTTTTAAGCTGCAGGAGCTCTACGGCAAGCAGAAACACTGTGCATTTTTGTGCGTGTTTTATCTCACTTTCCCTGTCACGCAGGGTCACCAGATTCACAGTTTTCCAGCTAGTTTAAGTTGCAGGGTGCAGCCATGGGAAAAAGTGAAAATGAACTGCAACTATGGAAAAAGTGCAATTGAAAACAGATGTTTACAACATCTGAAATCAACCACTCTAAAAAAAAACTCAAAAAAAAATGTTGGAATGTTTAACTACTACTTTGTTTGATAACATTCATGAATAAAAGAATTTGCATTTTTAGAAGTTTTGTTTTCTGTTTCATTTTCATTGATTCTTATGGCTTATTTCACTGTATTTTGCTCCAGACCTATTCTCCAAACACTTTAGTGGTCTCTGAATCTCTGACCTGTTAACAGAAGCACTCAAACAAAAAGCGAGATGTTCCGCATCAATATAAATTAACATTATGAGAAGATCATTATTTCCCTGTCTGTGATCTGCTCATATTTCAAAATGACAACAGTGCAAAGCTATCACATAACCTACCTTAAAATAAATGTGTATAACAAAAGTGAAATAAATAATTCATAATTTGCATATATTCACCCATGATTCCTGCTCTTACTTCAGCGTCCTCAAATTAAACCTGTCATCAGATTACACCTCAAGGCCCCGACACATACATAAACACGCTTCCATAATGGTAAATGCTTGTGTCATCGCAGATAAACGCTGTACGAAGTTCTACCATCCTGTGAAGAAAGATGGAGCTCTGAGCAGACTGTGCAATGATCAGGAGGGTCTGTGTCGTTGTGCTGAAGGTACGGGCATTCACAGCTATGCTGCCAACACAAAGCTAGCAAATTCATAATTCAATAACATTTTAAATTTCTTTTTAGTTAGAAGTCCAGTTATGTGAACTAACCTATGTGTTTTTCATTCAATATAAATAGGAGCCACTTTTAAATGGTCCAAACTGATTACAATTTTACCTGAAGTCTAAACACTCAATATCTTCACAGAAAATTGCAGCATCCAAAAGAAACAGAACATCAACGACAATGACCGGGAGAAAAAGGCTTGTGAACCTGGCTTGGATTACGGTAAATACTTAGAACTGACTGTGACATATATACACTTTTACCACACACACCTTCACCATTTACGTTTCATGTAATAATGAACCAAACATTTGTAACATGAGTAATAACAGAACAAATTAACTTTGTGCTTTTGTGTGCATTTTACAGTTTACAAAGTAAAAGTTGTGAAGACTGACCTGAGCCCATACACAGACTACTACACCGTGAACATTGAACAGGTTCTGAAAGAAGGTATAACTTTTTCATTGTTTTTTTATGAGTAGTTTGTGTGACTATCAATCACACAAAAGTGGCTGCATGCATCCCAATCTGTGTTGTAAATAGATGAAACACTGACACAGTACTTCCTGTACTAATGCATAAACACAGCAAAAGAAGGCTAGCCCCACCTTCATCATGTTTTTTTTTATTTTTATGTAGGCACTGATGCAGGTGTGGAGGGACAAGAGAGACGCTTCATGGGTCACGCTAACTGCAGAGGATCTTTTGGAATGGAGGAAGGCAAGACGTACCTCATCATGGGCCAAAGCGCTGACCTACCAAAGATAGGTGGAAGGTAATGTTAGTGCATTTATGTGTAAAAGCCTTCCTATGCACGGAATTGCTTTTGGTTTGCATATGTCTCTAATATGATCCTAAGAAGTCTATATACTTGTATGTCCTTTCTTAACACTTTTCCACCATATATTCTTTCACTACAAATACATCATAGTGTAAATACTTTATTATTATATATTATTAATAATATATTATTTAAATAACACCAGTTACATATAACGCTTGTGGTAAAAATTTAAGAGAGAGGCTTTATTGTCAAGGGCTGGGGCGAAACTCATGGTCGTGAAACAGGCAGAGGTCAAATCCAGAAAGATCCAAAGACAGAAAAGAAAAACCCTAACAACCAGGCAACCAAATCGAAAGGGGCAGAGACAAGCAGGCAGAGACGGCAATCAGAAAAACTGCTTAGTAGCTCTCACTCGAAGAAGCAATACTTCGCAAAGTGACTAGTCTAAAAGCCCAGGCTTTATACTAAATCTAACTAGACACATGACTGAAAAGAACAGGTATACAAGATTACCATTCAGGAGAATGAGATCAATGATTGGAGCACTGAGAGGCATCATCGGTCATGTGGGTTTTGGGAGATGGAGTTTGTGAGAGTCTCAGAGCTGGAGGGATGCGTGACACATACAAATAATTGGGATTGACTATTTAACGGTCTTTTCTTCATTGTATGCAAGTATTAAAACACAAGCCTAAAGTGGCCAAATTGACTGATTAGCCACTTTACTCGCTAGCTATATTTACTTAGAAGCTAACACTGGCTGTACTGTCCAATCAGTACTCACACTTACATAATAACATACATTTACACAGAATTATGTGTAGAGTTCAGCAAAGCTACATGTTCTTTACAAGAGTAAAAAAAGCACATACAAGCAAAGAAACATCTATAAAACACTAGTTGTGCCAGCATGCTTGCTAAAACGTTAGAATCGGCTATATAGCCAAGAAATAAACAAACATTACTCAGCACTGCCCTCTATACATGCTAGAGCGCCAAGTTGGAAGTTATATGAATGGATAAATTAATCTGATCGAAATCAATGCATTTTGTTGCCTTGTTTACCAGATCATCCGTTTTGTCACTTCTGATCTCAACCTGCAAAATGGCTTCAGATTATGAAAATTTCTTAAAAGGGGCAAATTGGGGTTCAAATCGGGCTAAAATGTGTATAAGTAGTGTCGGCCCAGTTCCAGAGTTCTTCTAAGGGTTATTGTGTATAGAACTGAACTAATGTGTGAGTTTTGAGTATGTAAGGTATTGTGTTTTTACTGTGAGCGAAGTGTTTGTGTGGTGTTGATGGTATGTGTGTCTGGGTCCTCATTGTTCTCATATTTGTTATCAGGCTGCAGTACATCCTGGGCGAGCAGACGTGGATTGAATACTGGCCCACAAGCCAAGAAGGTCAAACTCCACAATACAGGGAGAAATATGTGGGTATCACTGGACTTGCTCAGTATCTCACGTCCCTTGGCTGTACTACATAAATGTCGCCAGTGACATTTAATAAGTCATTATTTCTGCTGAATATTCCACAAGCTTTTCTTTGTTTTTACTTTTACTATGCCTCCAAATTTGCTCAAGAGAAACATTTATTCCAAAAATAATATCTGTCTGGCATGTCATACCTGAAGAAAGCCATTAAATAAACTTTCCGAAAGCATACCCTAAAGTTTCTTGCATTCTGTTAAATCTTTAACATATGTCAAATTAGCTGCACAGCAGAGGGCAACTCTTTGGGCCTTTCAAGGCCAAATGATTTCTGGGAACTGAGAAATTACATGTATGTTGTATGTTTTTAGTTCATTTTTAACTCACATAATCATCATAATCATTGTATTTTATCTCTGCTAGTACTGTAGTAGTAGTATACCTATTTCGCTGCTAAGTTTTGTTTGAAAACATAAGGGGTACAATCTTAAAATGTCCAATGGAATCTAGGTAGATACAGCCAAGCAAGCTCTCGCATTGGTTAGGACCTCAGGAGCTGGGCAGAAGGCCTTATACAGTAGATTAACAACCAACATAATTATGAAAGGAATCAACCAATCATGTTTTAATTCCCAATGAGTGAAAAGTGTCCTTATAGGCCTTCTGCAATATATGCTTAGCTGAGCAGAGCTAACAGGCTCTTTCATTAAATTCAGTTTTATTAACTGTAGAAGTCACTGTGAAACCACAACATGCAGAGTAATGTTAGCTTGGCACTGAAATCCTCTTACATGGAAATTAGCATTACCATAGTGGTTATAGCCAGATTAATAAAACACAAATAAAGTAAATGAAAAGGTTTCTGCATAAATCACTGTTATCACATGGCTGCCACACACTAATCATTTACAACTAACTAACTTAATAATGTGACTGGATTACCCTTCGCTTTATTATACTCATGCAGTTGTTTTAGCATGTTATTAGTCTTGCAAGAGTCTTGACTTTCTTGGGTTTGAAGTTTTAACATTTGTGGACTGAACTGAAGGCGTAGCTCTAATAGCAACAGTTCACTATTGCTGCACAGTATAGTGTACTTGTGCTTTCATCTCTTAGCTGGTAGACTGATAAACTTCATTGTTTCTAGTCTTTTATCCTTCACGGTCAAACTTTTGATCAAAGTCGCTATTGAAATGACACAATTATACTTTTTGACTGATTTATTTTAAAGCCAACCATCTTCTGTTATGTTTACTATTAGCTTTTACCATCCATACTCATGTTCTTGTTCATTAAAATCATATTATTGAAATCATTTTTGAAAATATATATTCAACCAAAACCTTGCAACTTGGTGGAGAGGTACATGCAGAGTGTTGTAAGGCAATATAATTTCTTAAATACTTTACCACCATCAGCGTTACATATAAAAACACAGAAGGCACGTGTAGGTTCACTGGTTGTTTTGGATAGTAAATGACCATGTTTGTGTTGTAAACAATGTGACCTCTAGTTCCTAGCCCCACTCTAAATGGAATATAATTACAGTATGCTTAACTTCTGAGGACAGACGAAATAAGGCCTGAAAATGGTGGTTGAGCTATAAGGAAAAATCTGGTGGGAAATCTACATTACCTGCATGACTCTGAACTGCCTTTTAAACAATATTACTTGATTGTGTCTCGCACTTTTCTACCTGCACATGCATCTCAGTTCAGGAAGCCTTGAGTTCTGCAAGTTTGGTGATATAACACTGAGACAGTCAAGGTGGCAGGATGTACTTGTGAGTTTGTGAGTGGATTACTGGAGTCTGAGTTCACGACAGAGTGGGTAAATTCTGTGAGCCTGGTGGATTCCACAAGCAACACTGAGTCGGAAACAGAACACTCAACAAGGAAAAAATTGAAGCAAGCAAAACAAAGAAATACATGAAAAACACATAAAAAGACGGAAAAGGGGAAAACGGCACAAAAAAAATATATAAAACCACCAAAATACGTAGGACAAGGTGTGTGAATTCTTCGAATGGGAATGAGGAACAGATGGGGGTTATAATTACTAGGAGGGTTTACAAACTAAACACAGGCGAGCAGGATAACAGTAGGGCAGAGCAAAGGTCACGAAACCTGACCTGGAAAAATGAGAGTAATTTTTAACATTAGAAGTAAATAGAGCAAATATCATGTATATATTTACCCTCCTGCGAAAGGTTTGAGTGTGTACATATGGGAGAAGGAGAGTTGTGTACCTGGCACCTGGGGAGGCCCTTCCCCACCTCCAGAGGTCTCTCTCAGCTCAATTTTGAGCTTTGGCCTGTGCACTCTCACTTGTTTTCAGTTACTCTTGGTGAACCCTTTAATGCCAAGGCACACCCTCTATCTTCTTCACCTATAACAATATGATTGGTCAGTAAGGTTATTACCATTTTAGCATGCAAATAATGATTTAACAAATCTGAAAATATGTAGATTTTTAGTTTGTGTCACAATGTACCATTTTGGTTGACACTAAATGCATAGAACTCAGAGTTCATAGAGTTCAGTAGATTATTATTGTTATGATCCTGAATCACTCTGTCTTTCCTTCTATGGAATATTGCCATATTGAGTGAGATGAAAACAAAAAAAAATGAAACAAAACAAAATAAAGGAAACAAAGAACAAGACTAAATATAAAATTTATTTAAATACTTAAACTAAAAGAAAACAAAAGACAAGGGAGCACAAAGGAAACCAGGAAAACAGCAAAACAGGCCTTTTGTTCTGTGAAACAAAACACCAAGCAAACATAAGACAACAAGTTGAGAGAGGAAAGAAATGTAGTTTCTCCAGGAGATGGTGCTACTTTTGAAATAAAATGGCAGCAGACAACATTGCAGACAGACAAGAAATACAAACTACGCAAACATGGACATTAGGGATTAGACATTGAGGAAAGTGATAGGGGAACATTGACCTGGTCCACAGCAGCAATAACAGTAATAACAGTTGTGCATGTATTCTTATCAGTGCACCATATGATATTGTGACGTCATGTTGAAGAAGAAAGGTGAGTCTATTAGCAGTCTTATTCTTATTACCCTAATAACCCTTATTATTGATATTTAGGTTTGTTTTATTGTGTCTTATCTCGTAATATATGCCTCTTTTTTCACTCATCTTTTGTCAGCTCATCCCGCTCTGCTCCAAACGCAGCCCCATTGTTCTCTCTCATCATCGAACCTTATAAGAGAGCCGGTTTATGAGGAGCCTGACTTTTTCTTTTTCCCCTGTTATATCAAAAACATAACTGCAAAACAGCAGAGGGCACCCACGAGTGAGTTGGTTTTCGGTTTTATGTAAGAAAGCTTCAAGTTTACCTAACACACCAAGCTCAAACCTAACACGGCCCATTCCACATCCAACACAATTCCAACAATAAAGTATGGGGTGGGAAGCATCCTGTTGTGGGGATGCTTTTCCTCAGTGGTGGGACTGGGCATTTTGTTAAAATTTAAAGTAGAATGGATGGTGCAAAATACAGGGAGATACTGCAAGACAGTCTGCTTCAGTCTGCTAAACAAACTAAAATTTGGGAGAAACTTTACCTTTCAAGCAGGACAATGACGCCAAGCACAAGACAAAATCAACACAGGGGTGGTTGAACAAAGGTCAAGTCAAAGTCCAGATCCTAGTCCAATCGAGAGTCCATGACACACTTTTTGAAAATTGCAGTGCACAAGTGTCATCCAACCAACCTGAACAAGCTGGAGATCTGCCAGGAAGAGTCACTCCCACAAAGTGTGCAAAACTGATATAATTTTACTCCAGCAGACTGAAGGCAGGGTGGTTCTACTGAGAGCTAGTTTGAAAGGGTTGAATACTTATGCAAGCAACATTTATTTTTTAAGATCTGCTGACAAATAATTATGTTTTGACTTTGAAAATTAAGTTAAAGTTTAGTTTTTACATATTAGTTTGTAATAAAAATTCTGACTGGAAATAATATATATATGTATATATATATATATATATATATATATATATATATATATATGCCCCTAATAGCTTTAAATATTGTCATGATACTGCACAAAAAATCAATAGTGGACATGGAGTGACAGGGTTTTCAACAGTCAAAGGTTAATCCGAGAAACCAAACTCAAATACTGTGATTACAAGAAATCCAGCTGAAAAGCAACCCTTGACTGGAAGTTCCCTTAATGATTTGCCACCCAAAAATAGCTGTTAAACAAAAGATTGTGAGATTATAAACAATAATAATAAATAAATAAATGCATAAATGATTAAAGTTAACCAGTCCTTACATGTCCTGGCTTTTTTTCATCCTGAAGCAGATTTTTCAGTAACTGCATAGAAAGCTAGGCAAATTTCAGTTATTCCCACATTCTTTTAGTGAGAAATGGAAGCAGATTGTTTTTTTTTAATAGGGTAAAGATAATATTTAAATATAAATAAGTAGAGATGTGTGTGCATGTATTTTGTCACAAAGTGCCTAAATGGTGGTGGTGGTGGGGGTGGTGTTGTACGTGCATCCACAAACAATCCTTTGAACCGTGGTGTACTGAACTGTATTAAGCTGAAGGTGAAAGTGGAGTGTCTCTGTTTCTAAAAGCTGCAGTGCTGATTCAGGCACAGGAAGAATCAGACCTCACCACTGTCTTCACCACTGCTCACACAGTATACCGCACATTTACTTTTATTGAATTATAAGTGTTGTTTCACATCTGAATTTCTACAAGGCTGAGATTTGTTTGTTATTTGACAGCTTTATGTTTGAAAGTAACAGCTGCACCTTTTAAGGTGGAATGGGAAACTCAAATAAGAAGCCAACTTCAGCTTTGTTGAATTTCTCAAGTCATTTGTCTTGTGTGCATCCTGTACACTCTGACTGTCAGAGGGATTTGGAAACTATTACACTATTCATCCATGCATGATCCATGCTATCAGTTAGGGTTGTGTGCTATGCTGCAACCATCCATGCACGGAATGTTTTCTCTCACAAAATATAAACATGGCTTTCGATGATTCTGACTTGGTTGGGAAAGGTTGTTAAATAGTAGTAAAATGACTCCTTGACTCACTCTGTAAGTGCCTTGAGCACATCACTAAAAATCATGTCAAAGCAATTACTAAATAAGCTTTTCATCACCTTAAGAACATCAACAAGATCAGAGATTCTCTGATCAAAAGCAGACCTGGGGAAACTCATCCAAGCCTTTATTTCTAGCAGGA